AGTCAGATCAATCTGAGACAGCCGGACAGCTCAGCCATCCTAAGGACTGCATCTGCAAGGCTCATGGAGATAAGGGAGCAGGGAGGAGGGCTGACACTAAGTAGTCTTGAGGCTGAGTTGCTCATATCCAATAGCCCAGGTTGGGAAGCTCAGAGGGTTTAAGGAAGCTGCTTTGCCAGAGGCTTTCCTCCTCTTGTTTTGGGTATACCGGGCTGTCATGTAAGGCCTGCTTTATGCTGGGATCCTGAGAGTGGTGGGACAATATTCTTTATTATGTCAATTATGTTTTAAATAAACGCTGATTGGCCAGTAGCCAGGCAGGAAGTATAAGCAGGACAACCAGACAAGAAGTAGAGGCAGGTCAATGAGAATAGGAGAATTCTGGGAAGGAGGAAGCCCATTCCTCTGCAGTCCTGGCCTAGCCACAGAAGAAGCAAGATGTAACTTTCTAGCTGAATAAGGTACCAAGCCACATGGCTAGCACAGATAAGAATAATGGGTTAATATAAGTTGTAATAGTTAATAATCTTATTAGCTAAGCCTGAGATGCTGGGCCAGTCAGTTTATACTAGTATACACCTCTGTGTGATTTTTTTTTGGGACTTAATGACTGCAGGAACTGGGCAGAACAGAAAACTCAGTCAACAGAGAGTGCCTTTGTAGGCATTATTTTTTAAACTTTTTAGGTGGAAGACAAAATTTAAAAAAATTCAAAGCTCTGAATATGCTTTAAGGGTGTATTTTTACTCCACACTCGGAGAAGACTGGCTCCCTTTGTGCTTTTGTAGCCGACAGTCCTGCGAGTTCATCGCGTGCTATTGCAGTGTGAGGCAGACCTTTCCATGTGTATTGGTTTATAGAAGTATTTGAATGACAGCCATTGTCTGACCGACCTCACATCTGAATAAAGTCTCCCCTCTTGTCTGTGGGATGGTTCTCTTTACATCTTCTCCTTAATCCTAGTCAAACACACGTCACATATCTCATTTTCACTAATTCACCCCGCTCTTAATTCCTATGAATGCCCCCCTCTTTCCAGTTTCCTTCTGCTTTGGTTAGCTTTGGTTTTGACCCAGGTTGTTAGAGTCCACACATTTCAGTTTCCAATTCACGTCCCGAATTCTGTTCTGCTCTTTTATTTTATTTTCTTTTTAATGAATTAAGGGGTGGCTATTATAATCATTCTTATTTGGTACTCTTAGATTTCTTTGTTTGCTGTTTTAGGCTTTTAAATTTTTTAATTATTTCTTTTATTTTTTTGAGATTATAATATATAATTTACCATTCTCTTTCCTTTCTGCAAGCCCTCCCATATACTTCCTTCTCAATTCATGGCCTCTTTTTTCATTAATTGCTGTTACATGCATATATCTATATCTACATAGATATACATACATACATATGTATTCATAAATACATATGTATCAAAAAATTCCCATATCTAAGGCTGAGGGATAGTTCGTTGTGGAAGAGGTTGTGTAAGAGCCAGAGGAACAGGAAGTTTGCTCTGAGATTGTGTTTCCTAGAATGTCCAGAAAAACACCTTTAAAGTCTCACTAGCCTGACTGCTTAAACATGAGCTGAACAGGAAAACATTAGACCTGCTATCTCGGATGGGGAAAGGCCTAGGAGACCTCAACCCTACACCAAGAGCTACAGGCAGTCAAGGGACGCTGAGAGTGGGAGAAGGTTTTCACCAGGGAGGAGCGCACCAATTGGTTATCGAGTGCCAAATGGTCATCCTAGTTCTTTGAATTCTTCGTTCTCTCCCTAAGACTTTTTTCCTGCTCCCCCACCCAGTGTTTCATTGCCTTTGGTACTTGAGGAAAACAGATAATTTCTTACATTCAACTGTGCTGGGTGAGTTAAGGCCAAGAAGCAGGCTACATGGTCATTGCCTTTCAAGATCTTAATATCTAGTTGAAGAGACAGTTTCCGTACACAAAAATAGTGAGCAACACCAGTGTATAATTAAATGCTAAACTGAGTGGCATAGCAATTTAAGTGTTAGAAGTTGAAGGGAAAAAGAGAAATAAAGAGAGGACTTGAATTTTAAGAGAAAACCTTAATGAGGAAGTGGGATTTAAAATAGGACTTGAAATAACCAAGATTAGCATCAGGTGGGCATTTAAGGGAAGGGGTAAACAGGGACAATCAGTTTACTGGGTGTGACATTTCGGGAAGCTCTGCAGCCCTTCTGTCTCAGGGAGTGAAAGTAGAGGTGCAGGAAGGAGGAGAGTTAGTGGCTACCTTGACTTGGCGACCACATGAAATTTTGAAGAGTCACAGAGGAGGGTTAGCGAACCATGGTTCCTTATGGAGTAAGACTCTTTATTTTGTGGGTTCCTCAATTCTGAAATCTCTGGAGATATCTTTTCTTTTTAAAAGACATTGGACCATATCCTTTGGTGTTCTAGGAATTCTGTGACCCACCTGCCTTCCAAGCATGCATACAGTTTTTGCCAACACACAATTTTTCATAATTGGCTTGCTGTCTTTGGTGCACATGCCCATTCCTTCTCCAAGTTCTTTCTCAAACCTTACCATCTCTTGACACCCAATGACAGGATTCCCACCCACTGACATTTCTTACCTTCCTCGATTCTTCTTTCAACTGTTTCATGTTCAAAACAGTTCTAGTCATGCCAAGTAACAGAATCCCATGTTTCACTTCGTTTCTAATACAGCTTGATAAATTCAACAGACGGAAGTGCATTTTATGTTTTGTTCCCTCCTGATTCTGTGTACTGCTTTGGATGTGTGCATGCTGCTTTGTGGGTAGCTATTAAAGAATTACATCTTTTAAATTAATATTAATTATTACTTTTGAAACATCAATTATTTGAAATCCCAGAGCTGTTTGTGTGTGTGTGTGTGAATATGCTCACTATCATGCCTTGCCCATAATATTTCTTTTTTAGTAAATATTTGTTCAAGTCAGATTATGTAGTAGATTCCAAAGCAAAGAATATTTATTTTTCTGCTGTTTCATGGGAAGAAGAAATTAGAGCAAAAACTATGAATCCAAGTTTTTTTGGAGGTATGGTTTCTGCTCTTTTATCTTGGGTCATGTCTTAATACATGTCTTTAAGCATGTATTATTCATGCATCGTATGTACATCTGAAACTACTACTTCATGTAATTTTTCTTGAATAATTGGTTTGTAGATAGAGATAAGTTGTATACATAAATTACAGCGCAAACCAAGAGTTGGGTATTTTTAAAGAATTAATCCTATTAAATTCTAATTGGTTCTTTGTTGGTACTTTTCTTGCCCGTGTCTTAAAATTGTTAATAAAATATTAATCAGTGAGGCCAGGTGGTGGTGACTCACACCTTTAATCGCAGCACTTGGGAGGTAGAGGCAGGTGGATCTCAGTGAATTTGAGGTCATCCTGTTCTACAAAAGTGAGTTCCAGTCCATCCAGGTCTGTTACACAGAGAAACCCTGTCTCGAGAAAACAAAAACCAAACAAACAGGAAAAAAAAGTAGGATCAAATTATCAGGACAGATAGGACTGTCTTGAAAAGCTAAAAACCAAAAGGAAAGAAAGAAAATACCATTCAGTGGCTAGCAATCATTTGGTGAGAGCTAAAATTAACATTAAGGAAGACTTGAATGACTGTGAAATCAGATATTGTAATGACTAGGAACACTGGCTTGAGGAAATTAGGGAACTGACGTTACATTTGTGTTTGCATTCAGATTTAATGCTTAGCAACCTCTTTATCTGAAATCACTTTAAAAATCCTCAAATTATTTAAAATAAAATTATTTTGTTATATCATTATATAATAAACATTTATTAACATTTCTCTAAGGCAAATTTAGTTGAGAATTTTTTATTTATATTTATTAATCTCCCCTCCAATTTTCTGAATGAAATATTTTACTCTTTTGTGTGTGTGTGTTTCTGGGGTGGATGTTAAAAAAAGGTGTGTGTGTGTGTGTATATATATATATATATATATATATACACACGTATCAAATCTGGAGTTAATGTTGTATGTCTTATTGGGACACAGCACCTGAGAGAGTGACTTAAAGAGGCAGAGGCAGCTTTGCTCCACTCCCACTGCAGAGGTGCCATCTCATTCTCGTGTTTTTGTAGCTTTGGGCTCCAGGAAGGCAAAGCACCATGACAGAGAAGGCCTGGTCATCTCATGGCAGCCTAGGATGTTTGGGAGGAGGGTGGGGTCAGAGGCAAGCCGGGGAGGGAAGGGAGAATGCCAAGCACAAGGAGCACTGTTCGTGAGCAGGTGACCCCCTTTGTCTAACAGGTGCCTCTTCCTCATCAACTTATTGGTGTGGGTAGAACACTCATGGACTCCACCTTCGAAGGGCTTCATGAGCTAGGCCAAGCCTTGGGGTGAGGTGACTTCATGAGCTAGGCCAAACCTTGGGGTGAGGTGCGGTGTGCTTGATATTTAAACTACAGTAGGGAAAGGTGTTTGATAACTGAAACAAAGCAGTTAGAAAACAATTTTATGAGACATGCTGCATCTTCAACAATTTACGGTAACTACCTTATAACATCTTACTTTGTAGCAGTGGCCTTCTTTCTTTTTATATTGTAATGGAGCCCTCTTGGCTACTCTGTGCAGGACTGGGTACCAAGCACAGGGCCTCCTACATGCTAAGGGTAGTCTCACTGATCTCAGAGCTACATCCACAGTGCCCTTCCTTTCTTCTTTTCTTTTTTAACTTCTGTTTTGAGACAGGGTCTTGCTAAGTTGTCCAGTCTGGCCTTGAATTTGTTTTGCAGTACAGATGAACTTGATTTGGCATCCTATTGCCTTAGCTTCCAGAGAAGTCAGGATTACATACGTGTGCCAGGATGCCTGGATTGCAGTGCTCCAGGGAGTCCATCTTAGTTTGGTGCCTGGGTCACAGTGCTCCAGGGAGTCCATCTGAGTTTGGTGCCTGGATTGCAGTGCTCCAGGAAGTCCATCTGAGTTTGCCTTTACTCAGTCACTGACTTTTCCATCTGCTTCACAGGTTGTCTGCGTCCGCTCTACTTGGAATGCTCTCTCTCCAAGGCTGAGCTGTGACACGAGGCCACTCATATTGAAGGCCCTGAGTGAACTGTTTTCCCTGGTTCCCTCCTTAGCAGTCAGTACAGCTGAATACGAGGTATGTCTTTAGAGCCCGAGATTCTGTGTTTTAAGGAAAGGTTTGTGATGTGATACCTACTTTCAAAATTAATTCTTCATTTTAACAGCATAAAAGATTGTGTTTTTATTATGAGTATTGTCAGGATTTTAAAAATATGTTTCATGGTAAAAGTACTGTTGCTAAAATAACAGTATATAAGACTAGTTGTTTAAAACCATTTGTTAATGTTTTAAGTCATAAAATATAAGCAATAAAACTTACAAAGTCAGAATGTATTCTCCCAGTTTTATAAAGTCATGTTTATCATTATAATAGCCTGAAACACTTGTGAGAGTCTTTGCTGTAAGATTTATATGGTGCTGCTTGATACTGCATTCCTAGTACTTCTTTGAATGAAATAGTCAAATAATAAAGATTATATTTGTGTCTTCACTTTTATAAGCTACAGTCTCTTTCTGGTCAGTACTTCTTTTCCTTCCAAGAGCTGCAGTGTGTTTTGACTGGTGAGCGTCCAGCTTACTGAATCAAGGACTTGAATAAACCACCAGGCTTTAAGATTCTGTAACAGTCCTTTGTGTGTTTAGATCTGAAGATAGACAGAAGTATCAGAACATACTTCTTGAAAGATTTATTTTTATTTCTGTGTGTGTGCCCCATGTGTGCATATGTGTGTGCCATGTGTGTTTGGGTATATTCAGAGGCCAGAAAAAATGTGTTGCATTCTCTGGAGCTGGAGTTACAAATGGCTATGTGTCTAGCCTGGGTTCTTGGACACTAACACAGGTCCTCTAGAACAGCAGGAATTTTTTTTAATATTTATTTATTATGTATACAATATTCTGTCTGTGTGTATGCCTGCGGGCCAGAAGAGGGCACCAGACTTCATTACAGATGGTTGTGAGCCACCATGTGGTTGCTGGGAATTGAACTCAGGACCTTTGGAAGAGCAGGCAATGCTCTTAACCACTGAGCCATCTCTCCAGCCCAGCAGGAAATGTTTTTAACTGTTGAACTGTTTCTTTAGCCCTATATCTCATTATTTAAATTGATCCACAATGAATAAAATCAAATTCATCATAGCTGTGGTTGAACATTTAGGACTACGCCTGCACAAAGTATATACTAGGTAGTAGTTGCTGAATGAACTGTGTAACCAGTGCAGGGTATTTCGAGTTTGTTTTTATGTGTAGGCTTTTGTTTTATAATATTAAGGAAAGAATTCAGTTGTTACCCATAGGGTATGTGACATAGCGGTTATCTCTGTTTGGTACTCAACCTTACCTTGTTCAGAGCCGATAGGATGAGTGATCAGGAGCTCAAACTAAATCTACAATAATGGTGTTTTGTGCTCATTCGTTTTCTGTACTCAAGGGCAGAAATCCTATACTCTTGAATTGCTAGTAGTTGGAATTATTCAAATTTCATTATCTGCTACTTTGTGGTGTGGTTTTTATGAGTTGCTTTTGATGTTTGTATATTCATGACTGATAAATGCCTTTTGACTTAGGTTATCTTTTCTTTCAGATTTTGCATCTACTTAGTTTGTCTTTATATAATCAATGTTTTTCTGTTATTCAGGCAGACTGCATTGAGACCATTTAATCCATTTCTTCTCTCTAAGTCAGGGTGGTCTTTGCAGGAGCAGTTTTCCACTGTTAGCAGAGATGAAAACACAGTGGAGAGATTCTGCCTCCCTCCTTCCTTCCACCGTCCTCCTTAGCCTCTCCTCCTCCCATCTGCTTTTCTCTTATTCCCTCTCTTCTCCCTCTGCTCCTCCTTATCTTTCCTCCTTCCCCTCTCTCTTCTGTCTGTCCTAGCTCTCTGGCTCCTCCTATGTGTGTGTTTAGGTAGCTCTCTTTTAACTGCTTGCCACTTAGTTAGGTTGAAGCTAGAGTTAAATTCAGTCCCTCAAAGCATTTCTTACATTACTTCCGTTCCTAGTCACTTCAGAGCTTTCAGTTCATCTCAAGTGAAGTCCAGCAAACAAACCCTGTCTTCTACAACATGGCAGTTCCCTGTTATTCCACACCCAGCTGTCCAGTGAAGCAAAGGGTGTCTCCAGTCATTTCTATTCCTTTTATTCATGTTATTTCCTCTGACTAGAGTTCCTTTATTTTCATTTTTAATTTAAAAATATGAATTATTAATTAAAGAATTGCTTTATCTCATGCTATCCTTCAAGAATTTTTCTCTGACAGAAGTCTGCTGCTCTCAAACTTCTTTGTGTGGTTCTATGAATGTAACTTCTATTTTATACTACAGGGACATATAATTTCCCCCCTTAAACCATAAGCAGTGAATCATAGAGTAAATGATTAAATTGGACTGTGCTTTTAAAATTGCCTCCCATAAGTTATGGTATGTTTATTCATTGACTCAGAATACATTTCTTCAAGCCATATTAGGTCTTAATGGTACTGATAAATAATAGTTTATTTCAGATTCTTACTAAAATTGAAGCACTGAGGTTTTGAATCATATCCACTTAAGAAATCAGCATTTCTCTATGGTGTCCTCAGAATCTGAGATTCTTTCTTCTATCTCTTGTATTCTATTGATTATGCTTGTTTCTGTAGGCTCTGCTCGTTGACCTAGATTTTCCATATCCAGCTGGTCCTCAGTTTGTGTTTTCTTCCTTCCATCCATTTCAGTTTTCAATTCTTTTTTTTTTCTTTTTTTTTAATTGAGAATAAGAAAAAAAAAGTTTCTGCCTCCTCCCAGCCTCCCCTTTCCCTCCCCCTCCCCCCAATCTTCTCCCCCTCCCCCCACTCTTCTCCCCCTCCCCCCACTCTTCTCCTCCTCCCCCCACTCCTCTCACCCTACCTCTCC